GACGAAAAAGGGAAAAAGGGGCGCCCCCCCGGTAAAAACGGTAAAAAGAAGATCGATGTTTACCGTTTTTACCGCAGATATGGTAGACGAAAAAGGGAAAAAGGGGCGCCCCCCCCTGGTAAAAACGGTAAAAAAACAAAATTTTCGATTTTTAACGTGTTTACCGCGCAGATGCCTCGGATTAACCCCGTAACCCCGACAACTACGCTAAACCAGCACAGGCCGTTCAGGACTCGGTCTATCCCGGTCTATCCGGTCCTAACGTTAGTTTTTTCGGAAGCTGAACGTGTTTGCTGAAGATACCCCATAGTGTTGTTTATGCGAAACCTTGAATCTTTTGGTGTGGGATCGAAAGTCGAGGAGGTCCGCTTCAACTGAACGAGGTCTGCAACACGCCTTTGATATCCATTCGACAACCCGTCTATCCTCGCTGTGCTCTCGTTGGGCCCCCCAAAGGTGAGAATGAAAGGAACCAATCGCTGCGAAGCTGCCTTGTAGTGAGGCGTTGTCTTGTGCTGCGTGATTCCCTCGTCATCCGTGTAGGCTTCATAGAAAAGAAACCTGTTTGGGTTGTCCTGAGGGCGCTGACCGGACAAAGTCATGTTGCTCACTACTCTGATCTCTCAGCTCTGGATGGCTGTCGCCACAGTTGATGAGACAATGATACGTTCATTCTAAGTGTTGTGTTGTTTGATGCGCATGTCCCAACAAGCACCTTTGACACAATAGGTGCTTAGACCACGGACATGACACAACTTTGGTTTTCAGTACAGCAGCCAGTGTACAACCTGTCACAGGCTTACATTGTGAAATATGTCGTACCTTAGCAAAGACTGACATCCTGCATGCAAGTTGTCTGGAAATGCTGGCCAAACCCATGATTGCACAAATTCCTGTGCGGTGGCAAGTTCAGCACCCGCCACAGCACAAGGGAACTATGCTGTCCACACAGTGCTTGAGTTGCTGCTCAATCGCACCTTATGTTACCCACAAAACATGATTGCCTCTGGTTCCACTATCACAGCATGCGGGAGCCTTGCCGAAAACGGCCCGGAAATCTCCAAGTGCTGTCAAAGAAGCCCTGTCTCGCAGCAGGTCAAAACGGACGCATCCAGGGTCCAAAGACTTGTCTCTGGAGCCTGTAGCATCCTGTTCCATGACCTTGTCCAAGTCTGGCAAAGCCACATTGACGTGTCTGAAATCAAAAACACTGAGCACAAGGACTTCATTGGAGCAAAAGCTAAACCAAGTCCTTCTGAGATCAAGTTTAGCACCATGGCCCACCCCAGCTTAGTGAGTCAGAACTTCAGTCCAATTTGGTCGAGAGACCTTTAAGAAATCATCGACTCGGTCTGGCTTGATCTCCACCGTCACCAACACAGCACTCCCCACGCTCATGGCCGGCCACACCGTGCTGGGCGATGCTTTTCTGATCCCTTGAGCCGCAACCAGCGACCGGCGACTCGCATCTTCCACTGAAAACGCCCCTTGCGACTTCGCAAGGATCAAACATGATCGAAGAGGAGGTCCCTTGAGCAAACAGGTTCGCCGGGAAGCCCACATGTCACATGCCGTCCTCGCTCATGCGACGCCAGTGCTCTCGCACCACTAGGGTCGACCTTGTGACGGAAGGCTTGGAGGCGGCCTGGCAACGAGAAAGTCACACTAAAGAGCAAAACAACTAGGGGCTCCTGGCATCGCTACGAACGGAGCCGGTGCACAGCCGTACGACGGAAACGTGTTTTGTTTCTCGGCCTCGACCGTCTTCCAGGCACGGCCAAGCAGTTTCAAGGCCTCATGCGAGACGTAAAGAGAATCGGCCGTCGGTGTGGTTCGGTGTCCACATCAGCTGGCGCCTGCACGGAAAAGAAACAAGAAAGAATTGAAAAATTGAAAAATAAACTAAAACTGCATGTTTCTACGTTCTGTCTCTAGTTTCTTCTTTGAACATTCTCTTAAAGTCCTAGGTCTTGCACTTACCCTCTACTCAAAGCCACAGGTCCGAGGTCCCTGGCCGGACAGATTTGGTCGAGTCGCAGGGTGTAGCACCTGGCCTAGCACCGAAATCGCGAAATCCCCGTGCCATGGTCACTGTATGGATTGGTCACCCCCCTTCTAAATGAAGGTAGAAAGGATGTTGCACATGTGAAATACTGCTGGGTCATTCTTTCTTGCCAAGTCTTTGGAACGCAACCCACATCCAGGATGTCAAAGCATTTATGTGCTGGCCATTTCAGAACCGGGAAGAACTGTGGAAGGGGGGTGCAGCAAGCAAATGCAAGGTGTGAGGTCTTTTAGATTTCATTGCTGATCTTGACGTGTGTCCTTTGCTGTCAATGTTTTGTGTGTGGACGGTGGTAGAGATTGTTGGACTGCAACTTTCACTGTGGATTCTTATCGGATGACATAGGTAGGAGTGACTCAGGCTTGTTCGGTTTGATGTGATTGTTTTTGGTCTGTGAATTCAAAAGAGGGGACAGCATCAATTGTATGGCCCAATGTTTGTTGTTGTTGTTGTTGTTGTTGTTGTTGTTGTTGTTGTTGTTTTCTTGATCTCTCTTGTTCCTGTTCAATGTGTTATAGTTCTCCTCCGTCTTTGATTTGAAAGTGTTCTTTCCTTTCATGTCGTTTAGTTCGTTCGTGTCCTGTCGTTTCATTCCTTCCAACCTCAACTTTTCGAGTTCATCGTTTTTGTCGTGTTCACTTGCTTTGTGTCAATTCCTCTCTGTGCTTCATTTCGATGCATTGATGGCATAGGTCCTTTTCATCATCAAAGTGCTCGATGAATGCCCTTTGTTACGAGTAGCTTCTTGATCCTAGTTGTAAGAATGCTACTAGTAGCGATGCCAGGAGCCCCGTTCGTAGCGTCCTTGCTCCTAGTAGCGATGCCCTTTGTTGCTACTAGCGTCTTTGCTTTGAATTCGGTTTATTGAACCTGTCTTTTGTACTGTCAGTTATTCGACTGTATATACAGTATAAAGAGGCTATGTGGCCTATCCATTAAACTAACACCCATTCGTGGCAGAACATTCACTTTTCCTTGTTTACAAAATTGATGCTTCAAAGCACATGCTTTGAAGGCATGCTGACGACACGAGCTGTGGAGGGCACCCGCTCGCGGATTGGAAGTCAATCACACACAACACATTCGTGAGACGGAACTTGGAGAGGAGAAAACGGAGAAAACTATCGCGCAAAGCCGCAAAGCCAAAGAAAACAATCACTCACCGGGGCTTGAAGAACTCTTAAGGTCCAAACTCCCCCACAGCCTCCAAAGGTTCAACAAGAACCTTAAATTTCAGAGGGCAACAAAATCAATGAGGTGGTAAGGCGCTTGATTGAGAAAAAAAAAGAAGAAAACAACTCTCAACTCTCCTACCTTTTACCATATCTTTAAGGGCGGGCCAACAGCTGATAATGTTGATCAATACAGGCAGCTGCCAACCTATCGACTGCGATGACTATCGACCATCATTGCCTTTCCTGATCCACTTGATGGGCTCATCCTTTTGTAGCTGACAGAATTACTTGCTACACAAAGAGTTGGGAAAGGTTGGATGTCGTGTGTGTGTGGGCGGGTGGGTGTTAAGTGAGCTCCAATGCTCGACTTTGGTAGAAATCTCTTCAGGTGGGCGAATCGGACCAAAAGGATAAAGTGCGAATCGAAACTCCGCCATGTCAGTACTCAGTGCCTTTCACCCCAGCGCTCCAGGAATTCTGAGACCTGAGACCTACTTCTTGACAGCCTTGCCCAAGCACCCCAAGCACCTCGAGGGCCTTGCCCAAGTGAGCCAAATGTGTAGCACACATGGCCTATGTCGATCCGATCAGCCCGAGAGCCACGGCCAGGAAAACGAATCTCACTGTGTGATTGACTCAAGTGGTTTCCTGAAAGGAAAACGACATTGTATCAGAACTTTTGCAGGTTTGTGTTTGCAAGTTGGTGAACGTCTGCAAAGATCTCGGCATTTAAATGCATACTGTGAATTGTACGCCGTACAACTTGAGTTGAGCAGCTTTTGACCGTTCCGGTTGCTGCCACTTGGCTCTCCTGCACCCCGCAGAGGCCCCTTGAGACCTCACACGTGCTACGCACATGCTAGAAAAGACGTTGACACGTTTTCGATTCCATCTCGACACTTCGTGCGGTCGCGATACAACACGAGTTTCCACTTCCGTGTTTTCATATTGGTAGCGGAGCCTCCTCACAGGAGGGGGCTCCAGCATCGCAATGGCTTCGTCGCCGTCCCGCCGCGGAACCTCACGCGACGCGAATGGCGGCAGCTCCTCCGCGAATGCTGGCAAGGATCTGAAGGACAACTTCGTGCCCCGCTTCGACAATACGACCACGACCTATGCTGAATGGCGGAGGCGAGTGACCTTGTACGCCCGGAAGCTTGAGCTTCAAGGGCGGAAGAGCGAAATCGCCCTCAACGTCCTCTCAGTCCTTGAAGGTCCATCCTGGACCCAGTGTGAAGATTTGGATCTCCACGAGCTGGAGAAAGAATCTGGCCTCGACATCCTTCTCAAGCGCCTGGACCGTCAATGGGCGTATGACGCCAAGGTCGAAATGCCGACCCACTTCGAGCAGTTCTTCTTCAAGCTGCGGCGCAAGAAGGACCAGTCGATCCTGGAGTACACCACTGAGTTCCACCAGACCCTCAGGCAGGTCTCAAAGCACAAGGTTGATCTTCCTGAGGAGATCACCGGCTGGATGATGTTGAAGAGAGCCGGGCTGACCAAGGCTCATCCAGACCAACATCGGCTCGACCCTCACGCTCCCAGCTGTCGAGCAGGCTCTCTACCTGATCCTCGGCCAAGATCATCGTCATGTTCACCTTCCTGCACACCTGAGGAAGCCACAGCTCCCCGGCCGATGGAAGAGGCAGAGCCAAGTCTTCTGGGAGGAGGACTATGAGCTGGATGAGAACTACGAGAATGAAGAGACCTACTTCCAGGATGCCATCGACCCCGACGACTTCCAGGAGACCATGGGAGAATGGGATGACCCAGAGCCCGATGACACCTTCTACTATGATGAAGCGCAAGAAGAGCTGGACTCCATGTTTGACACCCAGGAGTTCGATGACAT